TGACTCTGTGATTATAATCTATCTGTGAATGGACTTCTAGTTTTCACAAAAAAATACCCGGGCCTTGTTTTTTCCACAGTATGATTCTCCAGAGTTCTAATAGAAAATAAAGTTGGAACCAGAATTTCAAAGACAGACAAACTCAAATAAAGGATAAGATAGACATTTCAGACACGCAAGAACTCAAAATTTTATTCCCAAGTGCTGAGTTTTAATCAGCAATTTGTGACTCTACTCCAGCAAGTCAAGAAACTAAGAAACGTGTGAGTCAAGAAGTGATAAGACAAATGCAGAAGTCCAAAGAAGAAGTAGAAAAATAAAAGAAACAGATGTACATAATTAAAGAATTTATCTAAAATGAAAAAAAAAAAGAGAAAGAAATCGAAAGAAAGCCATAAGGTGATAATTGTATGGCATGCCTGGGGAACAATTCATCAGTATTAGAACCAGAAGCCAGTGGACACTAAGAAAAATCCTTTTGGGAGAAAGACTAGAATGGATTATAAAACTGATGAGGGAGCTAAATGATACTAGTAACATACTGAAAAAATCATATGAGTGTGTTTTATCTTTCAACAAGAACAAAGAAAGATAACCAACACCAAGACAAAGAAATTCATAAAAACTATCAGTCAAACATGAAGCAGAGAAATGCAATAAAATAAAATAAAATAAAATAAAAAGGGAATTATTTGATTCAGATGATAGGAATACTGTTTCATTGGCATTGGGGCCATGGACAATGAAAAAATGTAATTGTCACACACTGTTTGCGTCTGTATACACATTAATGTGCCATGCCCATGAAACTCCATGTTCTTGGCTTCCAACCCCTAGAATAAAAATCTTGACAACACATAGAGCTTTTAATATTGTACAAGATAAAATGTGAAGATTTGCAGCTGTGACGGGGAATATAGTTAACAGAAGTTGAGAAGTGGAATAAAGGAACAAAGGTGGGATGTGCTGAGATTCACAACAAAACCATCACAGTGATTAGCTCTGTGGCCGGAGATGGGCAGGAAGTGGGGCTGGAGAGGGAAAACACAGAGTGTAATGCTCTATTAATAAATCAAAGCTGTGGGTAGTCACTGGTGAGGTGCAGTGTGGGTAGTGGCAACGGGCATTATTCTCAGCCTTGTGTGAGCTGCTCATTGTTCCTTCTAAGTATTTTGCATGGTACTCTCTCCAGACTCAAATAGTGTCCTCACATAGGTATTTTACTTAATACTTAAGGGGTTCTGTGCAGATCTGTAGGATTATTTCTCTGTGCAATTCTCTCTGACACTCTTCTCTATGAGCTCTAGCTGCCTTGGTCTCCCCAACTCTCAGTTCTATCTCCCCAACTCAGGAAATCTGCCAGACTGTTTCAATTCCCCACCACCCCACTCCCGCGCCACCACCTGGGAACTCTCTTACGTCTGTAAAATGTAATCACAGAGCTTATCTTATTTGATTTCCATCTCTCAGGGATTACTTGTTTTTTGTCTTTGTTACCTCAGGTCTTAACAATTATTGTTTTATTACATGTAACTGTTTTTATTTAGATAGGAAGGTAAATCTGGCCTCTGTTAGCCCATCTTGACAGGAGAAGTGTTTTTAAAAAAAATTCTGAGGAGCAGTTGGGGGAAGGGAGGGACATCTGTAATACTTTCAACAATAAAGTTTAAAGAAAAAAATCTGCCTTATCAGTGATCCCTTTTAGTTTCAGACTTCCTTAACCGCCAACTCTTTGCTTTCCTCCTGGTTTTGAAAAATCTAATTTATCCACCATTAAGCATGGTATTCCCACCAACTAGATCTAGCAGCCAGTAACAGAAGAAAATAAACTAATTATATTTCTTAATTTTTATTCTGTACATTTCCACACAATTCACAATACAGAAAAAGTATCCAAAAAGGTAACTAGTCAAAGTCTTTTTCAGAGATTAATTCAGTCTCTCAAATTAATTCCATTGAAAATCTCTGTAGAGCAACACAGTGATCAAGATACTTTATATAAATAGGAAATGCAAGAAAATTAGGGAAAAATACTTTATGACTTTGTTACAAAAATTCTCCATTCTTCCCTTCCCCACCCCACCCTTCCCACCCACCCTCCCTCCATTTCATATTTTTCTGGATCTCACTTTACCTGGAAATAAAACTTCATCCTGTTACCACAGCTACTACTTTTTTTTTAAGTCCACCTGCCAGCTGGCAGCTTTGCAAAGTCATGGCTCTGGGATGTGAAAGGGCAGAATCAGAAACTATGAAAGAGCCCTTTATACCGTGTCTGAAACTCTTTGTACAGATGTTGCCTTTGAAAATGGACTACCCACCGCCATCTAGGAACTCTGGATGGCTGGACCCTTTTCCCACTCAGAAATCAAAATGAAATACAGTCATTCTTATAGGACTGAGATGGTCCTCTCTATGCCTTAATGACTTACAGGAATGGATTTCCTCACTTTCAATCAGAATGGTCCATACAGTATTCAAATGCATAGTTGCCCACTTAACCTTTGATAATTTATATAGAAAACAGCCTTGCTACCTTTATGAAGACTAATTCAGAGTCTAACTTCGCTTTTCAAAGATGTGTTTTACTAAAGATTCTGATTTTACCAAGTTATTTTATCTATTAAAGTTTCAAATCTTATTTCCCCGGGTGGCAAGAACCCCACACTTCCCAGCCCACAATCAGGATGTTAGCAAGCATCCATTTCGGTTCTAGTTGCATTGGAAATTATTCATGTGGTCAGAGCCTCAGTCCAACAAATGGGGGAGGGGAATAAATATTTTTATTGTTAATAAAACCCAAAAGGTCAGGAACCATTTGTATTCATCATACAAGGTGCAGTAAATATCAAAGCTAGAAGGTATCTTAAAAGTGATAAATCTCACCAGCATATTTGAAAGAATTACCCATACATTTAAAACAAAAAATAGGATAAACAATTTTAGGGCTATCATCTGTTCATTTTTCTAAGTAAAGACAATTTGTAAACATCTCCTCTCTCTCCAATTTTAAAGAAGAAATGTTATATGTAAACCCTCAAATAAAAAAGCCATACATAGGCTTTGAAGTTGTTAGGATTGAACATATTTAGATTTCTGAAGAACTCACTAAATTGTCCTTATATTTTTCTAATTTAAATACTAGTATAGACCAACAGAAGTCTGTGGATAGGTATAACTTTTTATGAGGACTTTGAAAAAAAAAGAAAAACAATAACTCAGTTCTTTATAAATTTCTATTAGAAAATTCTTCAATTAGCAGAGCCCTATTTTCCCCTAAATTCCATAAATAATCTAATTCTTCTAAGGTGTATATATTGAAAATTTCATAATGATACTCCTTGAAGCCATGCTGAACAAGTTCAGTCTTTCCTTATATCTTCTTGATTTGCTTTTCATGAGGATCAAAGTTGGCTGAGAGCATATATTATTTATTTATCGGTTGCCATGGCAATTTGTGTTAAGACTAGAGCCTTATTCTTGTACTGCTCTTGAGAATCTTTTTTTCCTTTCCCCATCTCTGCTCTTCCTTTAACTTCCCAAGCCAGGGGCAAGGAATGGGGTGAGGGAGAAGGCTTGGCAGCAGCTCCCTGAGCTAGACTCCAGGGATGGACCCACTTTTTCAGACTGTCTCAAGAGTGACTCCCTCCCCCATCTAGCCAACTTGTAATGTCAGACTCAGGCCTAATCATTATGGAAGGAAAGATGGGCAATTAAAACTGTAGCCCAGCCTGGCTGTCGTGGCTCAGTGGTTGAGCATCAACCGATGAGCCAGGAGGTCATGGTTCGATTCTGATCATAGTATGTGTCTGGGTTGTGGGCTCAGTCCCCAGTGTGGGGTGTGTAAGAGGCAGCCGATCAATGATTCTCTCTCACCATTGATGTTTCTGTCTCTCTCTCCCTCTCCCGTCCTTTCTGAAATCAATAAAAATACATGTTTTTAAAAAACAATTAGAGCCCAATTTAAACAGAAACACTTTCATAGCCATCGAGATGGCAGGAAACTGGGGGGGTGGGGGGGAGGGAGAGGAGGGGGCTCTGATTGAGTTGTGTTCCAGTCTAAAGTCATGGAAATCTAAATCTGGAAAATATCACAGAAGTCTTTAGTCTAAGCTCCCTCCTAAATAAGGAATTGTTTTTACACAATCCCTGATTCAGCTGCTCCATTTTCACTCAAACACTAGAAGAAATACTGGCTGCTTTGAGCCCCCCCCCCCCCTTTTTTTTTTTTAGAAAGCCCACTCCATTTTTTCTGGGTGTATTATTTAGGAAAAAAAATAAATCTTTCTGTAAGTGTTAAAGCTACTTCTTTTCATCCTGTGCCTGGTCTTCCCGCCCTTGTTTTAGTCTGCAAATCATCTGCCATACAGAACTTGAATCTAACAGTCCTACTTACCTTACCTCCTCCAAACATTCCTATTCAAATCTAATAGTCGTTCCTTTCCATATCAAACACCCCTCCCCTACATGTTCACCTCTCTGCCCCGAGAGATGCCTGGTAGAGGTGAGATTCAGAATGGAAGACTATCTCAGGCCTTTCGTTCTTTCCACTTCAGGTACAACACAACTCCACCAGGTGATTAGGCCTCCATGTATGTGACCATGGATGACACACTTAGGTTTGCAAACCCAGTTACAGACTTAGAGCTATGGAGTCTTGAGTGAAAAGACCATTTCAAGGCTCTTTGGTGCATCATTATGAAATAGCATCATTCCAATAGTGACTGCCAAGGAGAGAAAACAATACAGTAAGTCCTCTCTTAACATCAGTGATAGGTTCAATGACTTTAAGTGAAACAATGTATAATGAAACCAATTGCACCATAGACTATGGCATCTCATCAATGTTATAACAAAACAACATTGAAACAAACAACATTATTCAAGGACCTGAAGTACTAACTTTTTTAAATGCTGAGAATCACAAATGTAGAAAAGCCAGTAAATCATGTTCAATGTTAATTTCTTCTTGTGAAATCCATCCTGGTACCAAAACATTAAACCTTTTTTTTTACTTTGAATATATGCAAGATGATAAGTCTCTAATAGCAAACACTCTGAGTTTGTAACTTCACGTTCCCTCTCAGTTTAAACCAACTCTTACTGTGGGATCATAGGTAAATAGTCTTCTAATTTATGGAAATCAGAACGATATAAAACAATATAGAAGGCAATGGTGGGAAATTATTTACTTAGAAAACATCTATTGCATGCATGTTAGTCTGTAGTTTCTAACAATCATAGTTCTGGCTGCAATTCTACCAATTACGATACAAAGCTGTGCAAATTGTATTCACTGTTCTGATGCTCCATTTATTCATCCAAAATGTATTATCAGCCTCATCCACCTTATGGGTTGGTAATGAAGCTCAAAAGTGTCAACAAACAAACAAACATAAAAATGTTTAAGCACTAACATTTAAAAAATACTGGAATTGTGATAATAAACAGTATAGATTTGAGTTAAGCTACTTTCTATTGAAAATTATATGTGTTTTACTTAAATATTGGAAACAAGTTGTTCCCATCACCAAAGGCTCCAATTTCAGATGCCATTTGGCTCAAAATATTGAAAGTTTAGAAACTGGAGAATACCTAGAATCATCATTTTTTTTATTTCTGTGGGTAAGCTACCCCTCATGATCAGCACGCCAGTAGTAGGAGCCAAGGCATTTTCCATGATTGCTTTTCAAGTACATGGACTTGGCTCCCAAATATCTTTTCGGCATAGTTTTCTTCTGTGGTTCTATTAGGTTACATTTAGTTCTAAGAATATCAAATCACAGCACTTTTTTTTCTCATTAGATGGACAGTGAAGCAGATTTCTGATAGGACTTAAGGATGCCTAAGAATACGCATCAAAGTCCACAATGCTCCACAAGTACTTTGAAGTAAGTTTTACCCAAGTATGCCTTCTTTTCAATAGCTCGTATAGTTATGCTTAGTTGGTTTAAAAATGTTTTAAATTACAACTAAAGGTCATTCTCCCCCCAATGTTAAATCCTCTCACAAAGTGATGTTCCAAAGATTAAAAGCCAAGATGTTCATAAATTTTTCAAATAAATCCTGTCATTTTACAAAGTTATTTTAAAAGAAAAACTCACAGAATCTAATTCCAGCTCCCTCAGATCCCAGGTCCCTAGATCCCTCAAGGTGGTCATGTGTCCAGTTTAAATATCCCCACTTGCCGAAAGTCCATAACTCTGTAAGGATGCTCACTCCACTCTTTGACAATATTTATACTTCATCTTCTTTATATTTAATCCAAACCTACTGTATTGTTTTCCTATTGTTTCTAATGATGTCCTTGAGATATAAGATACATGAGTGTTAGCTCTCATTTTAGTAGTGTTTCTAAGTTTCATCCTAAAGTCTTGGTTTCAAATACAATTTTAAGAACAGTACCAAGACTCCAAGGAAAAAAATGCAAAATATCATTCTCTTGCATATTACTATTCTAATTTCATATTTCATAGAAGTAACACATTGCTGGTTAAAGAGTGACCAGCACAATAAAGCCTTGATTGAGCCCCCAGCGCATGCTCCCCAAGGACCCTGGGGCTTTCCGCCCAGTGGAATTTGTTTCTCGCATTCATTTTTAGATCCTTAGTATGGAGTTTTGTTTCTTGTATTCATTCTTAGGTCCAAGCCTGCATCAGAGTATGTGATAAATATATATTTAAAATAAATGATTAAATGCACAAATGTACGATTGGTTCACAAACATGATTAAACAAGCAAAATAGAGACAGACTCATAGACAGAGTGCAGGTGGACAGCTCTGGTGGGGGAAGTTGGTGAAGGGATTGAGCAAAAAAGAAGAAAAAAGGGAGAGAATTCATGGACACGAACAACAGTGTGGTAATTGCAGGAAGGACTGGAGGTTGAAGAGGAGGTGAGGATTACTGGTGATGGAAAAAAAGAGAAAAAATAAGTAATGTTTCAACAGCCTTAAATTCTTTTTTTTCTGCTTCTTTTTGGGACCAATTCAGTGACTCCCAGTATCCTGGGAGAGCAGGTGGTCCAAGGGTACAACTCCTTGCTTAGAATCCTATTTTCAGGATTTTCATTACACTATGGGGAGACAGCCTAGAATCCACAGATGGTCACAGGGGCATAACCCATATATAATCCAGTCATTCAGGTGACTACAAGGGGGCACATTATTTACATCATTCAGTGTGGAAGAAGTTGCCATAATTGTGGACTTCCCTGGTGTGACTAAAATGGAAATTTGCTAAACCTCTCTGGCAGCTTACTTCTCAGAATAAGGCTGATTGGAATTCTGTAAGATCATCCAGGTCAGTGGATATTTTTTTGTTCTTCAAGAAAAATGGATATTTGTCCCAGAGGGTGATTTCATTTTGATCCATTTTGAGCTATTATGAGCTGAGGAGGATTTGGGTATGTGCATGGAAAAAAATCGATGAAGGTAGAGGCAGAAAGCCTGGGAGCAGGACTTGCCATGGTCAGACAATTGGAAGGACTAGCGATGAGTGATGACCAGGACCCAGAAAAGGGATGATGGCGTCAAAGCCAATGAATGGCTTAGCAGAGAAAAAAAACTCTAGGACTCCCAGTCAGTCAGCTAAATATGGAATTCGGAGAATGAAAAAGTCGATTCAGAGATGGTTCTATAAAACATGTGCAGAAGCTATTTTAGAGTAAATAAATGTTTAAGCTCAGTTAGAAAACTCTCTAATTTAATGGATGTTCTACTTTTTTTTTTTTCCAAAATGAAAATAATCCATTTAAGGAGAGCAATTGGTACTTTTACTTGATGGTTATGATGAGCCATTTTCACAATGATCAATTTTACTTTGAAATAGTGCAATTGCATAAAATAGCATGCTATTCCAGTGATTTCATTAGCTGCTCCCACAGAAAGGAAGCCAAGCTACTCAGACTCCAGCCCACATCCAAGTTACTACATTTTCCGGGCAATAGCTTGTCCTAATCCAGTGTCAGTAGGCAACCTCCTGAGTATCAGTCCTGAAACTCAGCTTGGGAAGCGTGCAGGCATCACATCGAAAGAACTCTCCACTTGAGACCCACAATAGCCTAGATAAGTTTCTGGGCTCAGGTAGGCTTTCTGCTTCATGGAAGGCAGCATAAAATAATGGCAAGACCTCTTGGTCGTGGATTATATGGCACAGGCACCAGAAAATGCCATGTGCAGCTGAAGGTCCATACAGGCATAAAACTAAGCTTGGTCATAGTAGAAACAATAATGAATACATGGAAATTCTCTGGTGCCTTGTCTCTGACCGTCAGTGATAACTGTACATATACAGATGATTGGGATGCTTCTAAAATGTTTTCACTTTTTTAAACCTATGCAATATATGTGTGTATAGTATACAGACACATATATGTGTACAAATATATTTCTATGTGTTTGGGGTGGGCCGGCATATGCACAGGGTATTACTGATATGACATACAAGCAGCGATGTCTATATGTTTATTAGGTAAATACTTTTGATCGCCAGAAAGTGGGGCATAAGTCACTACACCCTGGGCTTTGCCTGTGACACTCATCTATGGTCTTAGAACCTTTTATAAAAAGCAGGTTCTACTTTCACAGCTTAAAAAATACGTTTTTTTAAAATAAAGTTGGCATGGGAAAAAAATAAAACTGCTGCCCCACATTTTCTATGACCTGGATATTTTGAGAATCTAGTAAATAAACTTCAGAAATCCTTTCAGCCAAGAAACTGTCACTTGGCCCAAATGAAAATTATCTACCTTTTGAGTATCTTTCAAGGCAAACAGATCTGCCTAAGCCCCAAAGCCAGCGATTATGAAAAGACGGGGAGCCGTGGGGGTCGTGAGGATTCCCATCAGTCACCACTCATTTCAACGACTGTGCTTGCCAGCTCCATTCTGTTTCAGGAATTGCATCGGATTTACGGTAGCCTCCATAGAGGTAAGGGGAGCGCTCAGAGAGATCCCCAGCCATGGGGCTTATTTCCTGCTTGGCTTCTGTGCTTTGTCACGCCCATGACTGGGACAAAGCGCAGCTCACCTGGGTTCTATTTTATTAGTTGTGTAAAACTGGAACATGGGGCTTCAAAAATGACGATCATGTTGCTTTTTAATAACTCTCCATTTCTCAGCCCTCTATCGGGCTAATCTAAACATGGAATCCAAAGGCAGGCAGGCCCCAGCTCATGTCAGCTGCATGTTGGCCACTCTCAGCAGTAGTTTCAGTAGGTTTTGTAGAAAATGATATTTCTACAGGCATATAGCTTGATGTCTTGTAAATGTGGCTTTTCAGACCAGGGCCAGCCTCTTTGCCTCTGTTTTTCCTGAGGGCCCATTAAAGGGGGATACCATATGCCTAAGCTAAGCTGGAAACTCCTGGAGCATAGGCCCTCCGCTCGTCCTAAAGCCCAGGACTGTCCCATGCGATGATCAATTAAAAAATAAAATGCTACAGGAGGCAGATGCAATATTGAAACCATTAAACATGTAACTGTTTTTGCTCATTTTTACTGTTTTTCTTTTTAAGCCCAAGTCCTGGGGGGTGTTTGCTTTTCTCAAAGAGATATTCGCCTTGGTCATATATCGTTCTCCATCAATAACGTAGGACTCGAAGACTTTTTTTTTGGAACGATTTCCAAATGTTCCAAGACTCCTACAGCAGTCAGTACATCATCAATTTTCATTCCGGGGTTGACTTGTTACTTCACTTGGAGCTATTTGAATTGGCCCCTCGCCACCTGTACCCTAAATTTTCTCTGGGCTGCTCTGAGGCATTACAGAGAAATATGAGATGGTAGTTGGTGAAAATAGTCCTTCATCCCAGCAATGGCAGCTGGGTAACTTACGGCGTGGCCAAGCGTTTGGCTCAATCCAGGGAATGGAAGGCACCATCCGAAGCCAGATTTCAGTCTGTTTGAAGGATTATATTTCTGTCATCACAACATCTCCTGGACAGTCCCACCAATTGAAAAACTCCCAGCAGAAGCCCAGTGATTAAATTCTCCTGGAGCATAATTTTTTCCAGCTTCTGGAAACAATCTACTGCAGCTCCTCCTCCCCTCACCATAAAACCCAAACTATAGTTCCATTTCTAAGACTGATCTATGGAAATAGATTACTTGCAACCAACCCTTCCTCCCACAGCTGAAAATAATGCCAGCCGTTGGATTTCGAAACGACTAAGCCCCATCCACTGAGAGGTTATTCCGACTTAACAGTATATCATATTTGTACTTTCCAAATGATATGTGACCGAAATGTGATTCAGATCAGCAGCACGTCGCCGCTGGACCTTTACATGAAACACAGAGAAACAATCGTGTGCTCACATGCAGAAATAGTCAGCATGATGCTTATGTCTAAGAGTGAAGCAAAACCCTCGGTCACCCACTTTCATTTCTGACTTACACCCAAGCCATGTAGACATTTTCACCAGAAATTAGAAGTCTTCGTCTCCTAATATTGTCATTGCCACAAGGTCCCTCATAGAAGTACCTGTAAGTTTCAACTGCTCTGTGGCAGGATTAGAAGCTGCAATTCCACTGCCAGAGAAATAGTCCTGGCTGCGCTCCCACAGAGGTTTGTACTTAGAATTTTCTAGCAGAAGAAAATAGAGAAACTAATAGATTACCCCGTACATGTAAAATGGGGCTATAGTGCTATCAGGCATGACCTTGGGAGCTGACCAGGAGTAGGTGGAGGCATCCATCAGAAAGGGCCACGCCTCCTGGAAATCTGGCAGTGAAATTCACACAGCAAGGCTTTGTCCTTGGCATAGGGCGAGCTTGGGGTAATGAAAACCAGAAACTTAGAAGGAAAACCTAAATGGGCCCCTCTCACCACTGTACCCAAGAGTCTGTACTTATTAGCCTCTGTGCAAAGTTTCAGTGACTGTTTTCTTACTTAAATGAGTTATTTTGACATATGTTGCTACTTTTGCTTCTGCTGTTTTATTTCAAGTCCATTAGCCTGCTTTCCATTATCACTCAAAAAAGCCTAGAAGTGAACACTGGCACCGAGCTCCATTTCCTGTAGCCACAGTTCCCACACGTGGTTTTTCTGCTCTGCAGTTGAAACAGCACTTAAAGTTAAGTGCTTCTGCAGACTAGCTACGGGCCTTGGCTTAGTCCATTGCTCACCTCTATTGCAGCAAAAGGCAAAGATGGCTACACCTGGGCAGTACGGAGCTGTCCAAACAGCCCAAGCTGAACCTGGCCTTTGTGGCCATCAGTAACAGGCCCGCACATGGGGCCAACCCCTGGGTTACCTCTCTGAGGTCCCGCTGAGAACAGGAGACTCCCATGCCACCTCACCATGCCTCAGAGATACAATGCACAAGTTGACATTATCCATGTGGCAACTCCCAGCTCCCAGATGATGAAAAAGAAATGAGCAGGGAGGGGTGACATGCAAAAAATGTCACTAAGTCATCCTGGTATATTTAGTCTTGGAAATGGAAGCAGTTTTACAGTTACATTTCTGCAGGACAACCAGAGGGTTTCAAAAGACCTTCAGACAGTCTTGTGGTCTTCAAAGACTGAATGTAAAGCGAACAGGCTGCATCGAATTTTTTCTGGGTGGTTACAGGCAGAATGGTGCGGTACAGGGGAAGGTGAATGCATAGGGGAGAAGGGAGCAGTGCCATTTATAGGAACATCCTTTGAATCTTTAAAATAAATGATACAGGTGAACACAGAAGTTCATGCTACTTGCTGGAAGCAATAAAGATCAAATTTTGTGGAACTCATTTTCCACCAATCTCCAGGTATCCTGCCTCGTCCTCTGTGGGCTATTCCATTCTGTTGTACATCACGGTAGCCCTTAAAAACTGGTGGCATGGCCTCAGATGCTTGCAGGAGAGAGACAGATTTATGGATTCCATCAGCTTCTTCCAGGGGAGCTGCCCGATCGCCGGGAGGGCCCAGGTGATATGCTCACTCAGGTTCTCTTTGCCCGTCTACCAGGGTCAAACAGTAGTTTCCAGGTCCTCATGACCAATGATCTTATAGTTCTGACGGCTTTCTAGGTAAGCAGCCAAATCAGGGTCCCCAGCCTGCTGAGCTCTGTCTTGAGGTGTCTTACCCTGCAGGTAAAAAGGAAAGAAACACACACACACCTGGGATGAGATTTTTTTTAAAGATCCATAGGAACAGAGATACTCAAAGATGACGTGCTAATAAGGATCTTTCCATGTTACTGTTTTAGAGTTAACAAGACACTTTTCAAGCTATTATCTGATGGAAGCGAGATACATAAGCTCATGAGAAAGAGACCATCCTTGTGGACAGGTGGGGGTTCCCTCTAAGAAAGCATAGAGTCTAACCATAGGATCAGAGTCTTACTGAGTGCACAGCAGGAAACTTAGCACAGTGAGTTCTGGAGCCCAGACCCCCTCTGGAAGCAGGTGTAGAGAAATTACTAACTAGATTAACAGGGAAGCAGGCATTTGATGTCTAGTTTAGGACTCTTTCTATTATATTAACTCTGGGAAGGGATGGTCATAACAATCTAAAAAGGTTTCTTTGCTGGTTTTAAGGATTCTCTCCCCTATTTATAACATTCTCATCTTTCCAAAGAGTGAGTTAATTTCTGACTATAAAATTGATGGGTGTTGACTAAAGAAATTTTGGAAAAGTAGAAGAGCATAAAAAAGAAATAAAAATATATTCCAAAACACTAAGGTAACCATTGTTAACCTTCTGTGGAATAACTATTTTTCTTTTTCTATAGCTGCATACATAATTATTTTATCAAAATTAAACCATATTTATATACTGTGGTTTAACATGCTTTTTCACTTAATAATATGTCAAACATTTTTATGCCATTCTTCTGCATCATGTTGAATGATTATATAATGTCTTGCAGCCTATTTTAATGCTACATGTGTATTTGTAAGTACACACACACACGCGATATTTTTGAATGAGGCCAATGAATGGAAATCAGTAGTAAATGGAGGGAAGGTCTCATTCTTTTGAATGCTTCTGGATATTACTTGACACTCCTTGGAACTTCTAATTTTTGTCTAATAATATAGTCTTAACTATTTAAATAAGTGATATTAAGTTCTAAGGAAAAGGTAGTGGCATGATCATTGTACTAAGGAAATAGCTCTATGCATAAATGCACACAAGTATGACAAAAATTATCAAAAACTTCAGCCTTCAGATCAGTTAACACAATGGATAGTGTCAACCTCAATGAAACCTGTTCCTAGCAGCTTCTAGGGGATGCAGGGCAAAGGATAAAAAGGAAATAATAGTGGCTCTGGGCTCTTTCTAAAATTTTACTCTATTTGGGGTTTAATATTTATCCACTAGCTTAACATTACTATTATAATTTTATCCCACTTGTTTATGGTATTAATAGACTATCTTGTGCTTACTTCAATGTTAATGAAGTTGGAATTTCTATAGCTTCTAAATACTCAGGGAGATGGACAAGGGTGGGCCTTTGAGATTTTTTTTTAAGGAACTGTTCTCTATTAAGAGAAATTCTCAAGATATTGCTTCTCTCCAAAACACTCCAGTAGATTCAGTCATGATGAGCATATGTGATGCTCTCACCTAGCATCAAATTACAAAAATGGAAAAACAGAGGATCCCTGAAAAGGATGACGCACAGGGATAGTACTTTGTATGGTAAGATCTCTAGAACAGAATGTTGGGTGTAAACTTAAGTCATACATAGTCTGACTTTATCAACTTAAAATAACGAGAGAGAAAAATAGACATACTTACATGTGAAGTGAGATCATTAAAATTTTAATAACATATATGTCTAGAATGTAGAATTTTCTAGCTATTCCCACTTTCCTGTATTGTTTGCACGGCTCGAGTTTTCTATGTGAGAACACATTCTATTTATAATCACAAAAATAATACAGCTGTTTGTGTTTTGGAAAAATACACACACATACATAAAATAAAATATGAAGAAACCTCAAGGAACATGGAGCCCATTGATCTGATATAGAAACTTAGAAAGATGACACAGAGCAATCTGCTCAGGGGCCAGGTCTCCCGCCATCTTTTGTTTGTCCTCATCTACATATATTCAAATACTTCTCTGCCACCCTCTGCGTTAAGTGGCTTGTCTTTCCTTGGAGTCTCCCCAGGGCGCTTGAAAATTCTCAGAGCTGCCCAGGCTCCTCTGCAGGGTTGATTGGTATTAACTCTGCTCTCTCAGGAGCTGTATTTGTAGGTCAATGCTACTCAGCTCTACCTCCTCCTTCACGCCAGCTCTCGGCCCTTTCCTTGACTGCTCTCTGTAACTTGGAATGACTCATGGTGCAGCCTGACCTCCCATCTTGGAAGTGACTGGAAATCACTTTGGCACCCCAAAATGAGGCCACATAAATCACAGATTCTAAGCTCCACTGGATTAAGCAGATGAAGGAGAAATCCCAACGGGCCTTCTCCAAGGCTAGGTCAATGTCTGCGAACATAAGCCTGAACCCTCTCCCAGGGCTTTGGCTCCCACCTCTCTGCAGCCTGGCTGCTGGCATTCGCAGGAGGAGAACCCCAAATCCCAAGGCCAGCGTGTCCTTCAGAGGTTTCTAAAGCCCCATAGGCGAGCACACACCCTCCTTTTGTGCTTATACATTTAAACTGCAGTTTCTCTAAATGAAGCACTTTATTTTTTCCTCCTTTTTCCAAAGCCCCCCCGGCACTTCCATCGGCACAGAAAGGATGCCTCTCCTGTGGGCATAAGTGAAGGCCACCGCGCCTGCGATGCTGCCCAGTGGGTGGATGTTTGCACTCACTCATCAAGTTACCTTGGAGTCCGTCTTTCTCAGAGATGCTCCCGCGTCCACCAGAAGCTGGCACACGGCCCGGTTCCGCTGGCAGGCAGCCTTGTGCAGTGCAGTCTCACCCCTAAATCAAAGATGAAATGGAAACCACCCATAAAGGGGCTGGGGGCCGGGGTGGGGGTGGAGGCTGCTGGGAGGGGGTGGTTTCATCCTACCCCTGCTGCTGATGTTCCTCCTCTGTCTGAGGCTGAGACCTGGCTGTAGGCAGGGCCCATTTGGGGGGCGTGGGGGAGGGAAGCCTAAAGTGCTTGAGTTAGTCATCCCGTAACCACAATATCTGACTCCAGCCTCTTTTTTAAACAGTGCTGGTTAATTTGGCCGAGAGATTTTGTTGTCAACTACTAGTGTTTGATTTAGGCAGGACTCCATGGGGCTGTTAGACTGATGTGTGTGGCTGTGTCTGAACACTGGGAACAACACTCTGTATGGATACACTGAGTGTGAGGGATGCTAGATGAAGCTCAGAGGGAACAGCGATGGGGAACCAGCGCCCCTCAGACCCATCACAGGAATAACTCCTGGGAACTCAACTGCAAGGGACCAGGCTAACACTCTGGCCTACCTACTGGATTCAACCCCAGGGGCAGGTGGAAGGGGAGGGGCAGCCACAGGGGATCTGGGAGGCACAGAGAGACTTGGGGAGAGAGCAGCAGGCCCAAGACCAGCCAGCCAGTCACTGTGGGAAGTGGGCATGAGAAAGTGGTTATTTCTGCTCCTTTAATAGTCGGAAAAAGAGGAGGATTTTCCCATTTGGAATCCAAGGCTGAAAAGATACTTAATGCTAAAGTGTTTCGTGGAAAATCAAATGCAGACCTTAGAGCAGGGAACTGGGGTCAGTGGCGCCTGTCCTATGGGGTGGGCAGTATGTGGACAAGCTCCGCATAGCAATGGGCAGTTTCTTCAGTGACGGGTAACTAACTCATGGCTACTCCTCCCCACCTCCATCTTTCATTCTATTTATGTCTGTTTTTCCTCCACCATCCCCACTTCCACTCCCTTCCCCATTCCACTCCAGCCTCGCCCATTCCTTATCTCCTTTTGAATTTCTTTGGAGTTTTCTAGTGCTTCTATATGGTTTTCAGGGTTAGATGCTTAGCCTTTCTTTGTTCCTGTTTGGAGAATAGTAGCTATTTTGCTACCCTAAGGATGGGGGGAAGTTGAAAGAAAAAATTATCAGTTTGGGGATCATCCCAGGTCCTCATCTGAACTTCAGAATATGAAAATGATTAGAGTTACCATATTTCTCTGGTGGTTGTATAATAGGCATTGTTCCATTCTAGACTTGGCAAAGAAGTTTCATTACACGCAAGAGAGCATTAGGGCTTAATGTTCTCACAAACCCCAGTTAACAAAGAGTTAAAAAAAGAAAGGTAAATGTATTTTTTAGACTTCTCAGCACCAGTGTAGAAGAATATTGCTTGTAGGAACCTCTAAACGATGAATCTCAATGACTGAGGGTGCAACCATTATGATACTTGCCATCAACTTTTATTGTGACTTTTATTTTTGATTTAGAAGATTAGCCCTGTACAGTTATAAATACAATAGAAAGTGGATGTTTTATCACTGACATGAAAATTATCTACTGTAGGCTCTAGACATGGCATTTTTCTCCTAGATATGTTCTGAAGAATAATCTATGTAATAAAAGTGAGACTCACGTTTCGCTGTCTGCCATGTCCAATAACTCGGAAGGTCCTAAACAGGAGGAAAGCAAGACATGCCCATCAAACATAAGTTTAAAAAAAACTATTAATAAGAAAATCTATAGTCACAATTAAAATGCCTTGGAAAGCTGCATAAGAAAGAGCACTTGTGAGAGGGAGAATGGGGCCTCCTCCTCCCCACCAGTCTCCCAATCACTGCCAGCTGAGATGTGCAGAATGGGAGCCACAAAAGAGTGGCAGGGCCTCCGCCTTCCTTCCGGAAGCTTTCAATTAAGTCGAAGAAATAAAATCAACTGGAATAGACTAAGTGAGAAGTGATTAAGTGGCTCCCTTGAGAGGAAGGGGACAATCAGCTGAGCTTTGAAGATTGTGTCTCATTCTCCAGTGGCAGGTAGTTTGGGAGGGGGTCTTGTGCAATATAACAGTAAAGCGACAAGAGACAATAGATGCCATGCGGTCCAATAGCCTTATTTTAGAAATAGGGTGAAACACTGTTTTTCACAAATTTTCCCTTCCAACACCTGGAAGAAATGTTCTGCATAAATATCAAATGATAGAAGCTTCATTATGAACTGATATGTTCTATGAGTTTGCACATTAGCAATGTTTTGTATGTTCACTAATGAATTCATTCAGTCTGCACACACTGGTTGGAATGCCCACCTTCCCACTTGCAGCACCACTGCCTTCCTCCCCATCCCTCCCTAAATCCCTTACCCTATGCAGCCTGCTAAGACCATTTCCTCCATGACGCCAACTATGACCCCACTCCAAATACTGCGCCAAATGTTCTCCCTCCCTTTGTGTCCTATAATTGGGAAATTAATATAATGTATCCCATTGAGACTGTCCCAGACAAGTGTGGATATAGAACATTTAAACCGTATTAAAATCACTTGCTGATTTCTCTCTTCACAACTAGATTCTCATAAGCCCCTTGAGTTGGTGGCCTTGTGACTGGCATAGAGCCTGGTACCAAGCAGATGCGTAAATGTTTGGTTGAATGAATGAATCAAATGTACTTGAAAGTGGCAAACACGGTCCCAGGTGTTGAGCATTTTAGTCCTTAGAAATGTGATCCTGTTGATTTGCTCTCTGTGTTGTTGGATATGGTTATCATTGAAAATTTACTTATGTGATTACTTGCCACCTCATCAGAAGAAGGAGAAGAGGAGGCTAGGACTTTCTAACCAAGAAGGTCATTGGGCAAGGAGAAGATGACAGGTGTGATGGGACTTTCACAATCCTCCTGGTCACTCAAGAGCTAAGTCATCCTCTTGGCTTCCTCTCTTTCACATCCATTGGTCGGCAAGGCCAGGCAAACCTTCCGACACCACGTCTGTCCTGTTTGTCTCCCTATGTGTCCTATTCCACAAACAGGCCTCCTCATAGGTCTCTGCCTGGAATATAATTAGCGTGAAGAAACGGTTACGAAGAAGACTAAAAAGCTCTTATGTTATTTAGATTTCCAGGTTTTCGATCTGTCATACTTATTACTTACTTCCAAGTATTTAAACATTGAAGTTCACAGTGTTCACTTGGAACTACCTTTCCTCCATTTGTTCCCGATGTTCCAAAGTGGTCAGTTCTCCATCACCCACATGTTTCTCAGGCTCTCCCAGCTCTGAGGGCTTGTTCCCTCCCCTGTCCCTACTGAGAACAGCCTCCCTTTTCTAGCCTCACACCTACATCTTAAACGTTGTAAAGCCTACTCTCTGACAAGGCCTCTGAAAACACCACCTTGGGCAGAAGGAAGCTATCCCTTTTCTGAACTCTCGTAAAGCTTACTTGGGTCTACCCTTGTACCATGTATTTGATTTTTTGTTGTATGCCTTGTCCCCTGAAATCCTTTCTTCTAAATCCCTTGAGTATAAGAATACTTTTACTTTTCACATTCCTTGAGGATCTACCCTACATTAAAGATTCAACAAAGATTTAACTCATTCATTTCTGTTCCTCAGTCCTATGGTTCTAAGGAAAGGTGAAAGATGACCCTCCCACATCCCCCACCAAAGAAGTGCAAAGCAGCAGAGTGCAGTGGTCAGGATCAAAGGCTTACAATTCCAGCTCTAGCTGCCACTTAGTAGATCTTGGGCACTTTCATTTTACTTCTCACATGTAAAGTAAGACTGATAATAATATGTATCTCACAGGAGTGCAGTGAGGTTTCAGAAGTTAATAAAAGTTATGTGCTTAAGACAGTAGCTGGCACACTACACACATGGCCTAAAGTTTGTGTCCTATTCTCTGACATGACACAGCAGGTCACACCGTGTCAAGATGTTGGAACGTCAGTGAAGGAAAGCTATATAAAAGGGCCACTTCACTCCTACCTATATTAGTATACAGAGCCACCTGTGGACTAGAATTATATGTCCTGAGAACCAAGGACCCCAGGCCTATTCAATTGCCAACAGGACACTTTCCTCAAGGTCAGGAGCAGTGTTCTAAGCGGGTGTGCTTTTAAAGAACCCCTGTCACCTTCAGCAAACTTCTCAAGCCATTTATTTTTAAAGGACTTCTATGAACACAAGCCAGCCAGCCTCAGTAGCAGTGTGTTCCCATCATTGCTGCGAATTGCATGCTTAGGCCTTCCCCATTTCCCTCCTTATTCAGCACTCAGAGCTGTGCCTATGACGGGTCTGTGGCCTCTAGGGTTCCAGCCTCCATGCAAGCGACAGGACCCTGAGCAGTTTCATCTGCGCTAAAACTGCAACTATTTGGCGCCCTGCAAGTGCGGACAAGGACGGGAAAGGACCTTGTTCCTCACAGTCTGACAAGAGTCGCCATACATGCAGCCAGCCCAGAGCCGCTCAGCCCATTCTGAGGAAGCTTGCCTGAGGCTGCTTGTCATGTTCCCTTTCTCCCCTCATCTTCTGTGGCTGATGGAGGTGCAAGGAAGAGGCACCGATGCTCAAACAAGATACTTTTGCTCTTAATCAATATCTAAAGAAACTCCAGTTAGAGGTTTTGGGAATTTCTCTGGAATCATGAACTTAACCCAAACCTTCCTACTTCTCCCATCAACATACCTTCCCAGCATCGCAGAGAAACAAAAATAATCAAACAGACCACAAAAATTCTCCTGAAAAAAAAGTAGATAATAAAAGCATCTGTGATTTTTGGAAAGTTAATTTGAGTCTCACTAATAAGGGAAAGAACAGGAGAAAGAGAGAAAATAATAGATACCAAAGGGGAACATATGGGTGTGGGCTTCTTTTGCATTTTATGTGAACATATGTTCTGACTGTGGATACCATGCCGTCTCCCCTGAGGAATTTGGAGGAATACCATTACATTGTCAGTAAAGAGCTCACAATTGTTCCCTGGAAATAGAAGGGAACCTTGGCTCTCTGTCCCTCCCAGGGCTTACTACAATGTGGACACTCCATCCCACAGCTGACCTGCACCAGAAACAACTCTTAACCCCATTGAAGGGATATGGGGGAAATTTCCCCATCACGTTTTGAGAGGGAGGCAATCACTGCCCTTCCACAGTCATCACTGGTACCCTGCACAGGACACTCATGTCAAACAACTCAGCATTGTGGTTGTTTGTCCATGATTCACTGCCCTTTGCTGGGTCTTAGGAACATGCAGGGCAGAGACCACATCTTATATTATGTGTGAGTTTTGACAACTAACCAAATTTCACTATGCTTCAGCTTTTACCACCTGTCAAATAGAGATAAGAGAGTAAACTGTGTAGGGCTATTGTAAGAATGCAATGTGTTCATACTTATAAAGCATCCTATATAATAAAAACCTAATTTTCAAGTGAACTGAATGGCAGAAGGATCGGTCGGCAGGGGGCAGGGTTGGTGCACGGGCAGTGCCATGCCAGTCAAGGTGGGTGCCAGTGGGCAGAGGGAGTGGACAGCAATCGGGTGGCGGGGGGGCGGCGGAAGTGGTGGAGGGAGGCCACCAGCAGCAGCAGCAGCGATTGGCCTGGGGGAGCAGGCCTAAGCTGTCAGTCGGACATCCCCCGAGGGCTCCTGGACTGAGAGAGGTGTAGGCCAGGCTGAGGGACGCCCCCTCCCCCGTAAGTGCATGGATTTTCATAAACCAGGCCTCTAGTTTAGAATAATAAAGATTAGCAGTGATTGTTACTACAACATTTTTTTTCAAGAGTGGGGAAGAGAGAATTAATTTTTCAAGTGAATGTATGAATAAATGATATTTTAAAATTAATATGGATCCTAACCAAATTCTTGCTTCTTCTCAGAGAAAGATCCGTAAATGGCACATGAATTCAAGAGACTGTGCTTTATGGGAAATAGTCTGAAAAATGAGGGAAAGAAAAATATGGGGATAACCATATCAGTGTTTGCGGGTAAAGGCCAGGGAATAGGAAAGGAAGGAAAACTTGCAGATCTCCCAACACAAGAATGTAAACTGCGTGGTGAGTAGTCAAACCTTCCAAAATGCAGGCCCGCTGCCCAGTGTCCACCCCATAGGCTCTTCCATTGCATACCCCGGTTCTTAGGAATGCAACTTTATCCACATTGCACTGTATTATATATGATGTGTCTTTGTCACGTGCATCTTTTAATTTGCTTCCCACACCAAGGCATCCAAATCCCCTTTGCTATTCCTTCCACCTCCCCACGGCCTCTCTCTGTTCGGTCTTCATTTCCCATTAGTCTCCCTGACGCTGCCAGCAGACCATTCCAAATCCTCCAGTGGCCCAGGACAAAAGCTGCGCAGATTTGGGGAGAGCTGGCACTGGGAACTCTAACAGCACCGTCATCCTGTCCCAGCGGGATGGTGGTCGTTTCTCTCGGGGAACCAGGGGTAGAAAAGGGGGGGAGGTAAAAAAAGAAAAGAAAGACTGAAGGCAGAAACAGAGGGAAGACAAAATAAGCCATTGAAATCAAAAAAGAAATGCATGAGTGAGATTTCTATCAGGAAACACGGTAGGGGGCAACAGGGTGGGAGTGGGGAGAAAAAAAAACACACAAAAGAGCAAACATGTGCAGGGTGGTAAAAGACAAACCACACAAAAGTCCTTTCCAGGGTAAAACCAGGGAGGAGGGAGCGGGTTAAAAAGATGGTTGAAAGGAGTTGAAAAGCAGGAACCGCTGGGGGGATTCTCAGCTGGAATCCCTCTGCATCTTCCTTTCCCCACCCTGTCCCTTCCTCCTCCTCTTTTCAACCCTCCAAATGCCCAAATTCCAGCTTTTCATAAAGGAAAGCAGCATGTTGTGAATTTGAGACAAGAAGTCCCAAAGAAGATGCAGGAGGAAAAAATTCAAGACTCCTGCGGTTTTTCAGAACGTAGCGCACATCACATGCCCCCAGGCCCCAGCCCGGTTTAAAAAGAGTCCTTAGAAGAGAAATACATTGCTGAATGTGGTGGCTGGGAGCATAATCTCCCTGAATCCTCTTCAGGGGCTGTCCTCCTGACGGGGGACCCCACGGCTCACCATAAATATCCAATGAAGAAGACACAGCAGAGGGGACAGAAAGGACAAGTAAGCAAACAGGCCACATACAATTTCCATCATGTGCCTTGACAAGAAAGGGCCCCTGATTTCTCAGAAGCCTTGTCATTAAAGGCATCTTTATGGTCAGGTTTTTTACAAACAAACAAACTGTTTTTAGGATTTAAAACTCATATGAAGCCACAGGAAAGACTTGACCCAAATGAAAAACAAAAAAACCACTAAAACTTTAAGAGAGATTCAGGCTTCAAGACTAGGAGGAGTGTTCCTCTTTATCTTTAGCACAGTGTAAAATCTTTCTTTGCTTTTAAAAGAAGTTTATGTGAATTCAAACTGCTCAGACCCCTCTATAGAACACAGAAAGGGACAGGCTGTCCATGTACTTATCTCTGACTTCAGGAGCAGGATAATTTAAAGGGGTTTCTATCATTTATCATAGATGAGTCGTTCTGCAAAGATGGTTTTCCCCGAATATACAGGTTAATACAGATTGTATCAGTAACTAAAAATATTAAAACAAACAACAATAAAAATAGACGAGCTGAAGTGCGTAGCTGTTAAGGAACCTGGTGAATTAGGCTGATTATGTCCAAAGGTCCATCAGAGATCCTGGTGAAGCAGGGAGGGTATAAGACATGACCATGGGAACTGTTTGCCTGTGAGTGACGTTGGGGTGATTACAGGAATCTGAAGTTTTTTCTCATGAGCATCACTAGTAAACAACTTGTTTAGAAAATCTAACCAAGAGAACTGGAAAAATAAGCTCTCTCCCCGAAGGAATTAATAAATTCCTTGGTGTCCTTCAGTTTTGATAGAGAGCTGCATCCTGTGATACAATCTTTGCAGCAGATACTGGAGGTGGAAGAGAAACTCCCTAAGTATCTAATGCCAGGCTTTGGACAAAGCAGTGAGACTGACATGCTAGCTGGACTTCATGCAGGCAAAGCATGTGTGTACCTATTTCTCATTGGGCTTAGGAACTCCAACCCCTATGAGTGTGGGCTACAATGGGAAGAGTATTAGAGAAATATCATCTCAAGCCTCATCACTCATGCCCCTGGGAAGACTCAACTGAGGAGCGGGTTTTCGTTTGTTTTTAGTGTATGCATCAAATATTGCATGGGACATACCTATGCTAAAAAGGGGAGAAACTTGTTTAAGAACTTGTGATGTTAAAGAACTGTTATTGCTAAGCAACCTTAGGACCCAGAACCAAGGGAAATATAAAAGCTGAGCTCCAAGGATTTCAGGTAGATCAGTAGTTCAGGACATTGAGAAGGTAGGGTCATCATTTCCAGGTGAAGAAGATGGAGAGCAGGGGAGGGTGGTAGATTAAATTCTGACACAATTGATTTGTAGCTCCTTCCATGAAGCAGTGGGCTCTATTCCCCCCCTCTCTTTGTCGGGACCAGCTCTATGACTTGTTTTGACTAACAGAATGCTGCAGAGGATACAGAACTTTCCAGTCCGGCCTCAAGGTGTCCGGAAGCTCTCATTCTCTCCTCCTGAAACCCTAGGACCATCGTGTTGTGAAGAAGCCTGAGATGAAAAACCAGGTACAGAGAAAGACTCAGGTGTCCTGGCCATTCCAGCCACCCCAACTGAGAGCCCCAAACATGTGACAGGGTCTGTCTCTTCTGTACAGATTCAGTCAAAATTGTAGCTGGTTACAGCCTCGTGAGTGAGAGACCCAGGGAGACGCCCACAGGTAACGGATACAGAGAAGAACCTGGAAGTAGGGGAAGTGCTAGTTCTTCCGGAGAGGTAAAGGAAAAGAGAGGGATAGAGGGTTCCTAACCTGTGTTATCACTCAACTAGGTCTCAGTGGCTCACCTAACTCCAGAGAGGGCACGTAAGTATGGAGTAGCCTAAGGATGCGAACAAGCACTCAGTCTCATTGGGTAAAGGGCAAACTAGAAAGAAAGGATTGAGAATGATCAAGAAGACAGCAACTACAGCCAAGCCTGCATGGCTTAGAGGTTGTGTTGATCTATGAACCAGGAGGTCACAGTTTGATTCCCGGGTCTGGGCTCTGGCGGCCTATGGATGATTTTCTCTCATCAATGATGTTTCTATTTCTCTCCCCCTCTCCCTTTCTCTCTGAAATTTATATTAAAAAAAGGAAGAAAATGAAAAACAAAAACAAAAACAAGATGGCAACCTTACAAGACCCTTGTAAAAAAAAATGAAAAAAATAATAAGATGGCAACCTTACAAGACCTTTATAAAGATTCGATGATGTATTTAGTATAAGCATCTGGCAAAGAAGTGTGCTTGATAATGGTAACTGTGTTTTGTCTGCCTATATCGCCACCATCTTCTTTCCCCTAGTCCCCTATGCAACTGTTTTAAATTTAATTATGCCTATGATGATGATTTTTTTTTTCTTTAGCCTGCAATTGCTTGAAAACAGTGACTGTATTTTATTTGTATGTGTGTACTGGTCTACAACATGTAGTTCTTACTAGGCACTCCACAAATATTTGTTGAATGATTAACTGAATGAATGAATGAATGAAATAAGCTGTTTGCTAAATTGAATTAAAAGAAGAGCAGGAACGAGTGTGACTATCTACTATGCTTTCTATTTACAGCCCAAATTTGGATGCAAAGTGGGTTGGCCACAGGCTCACTGCTAGGGCTCACAGCAAAGCTTCCAGGACCTCTCAGAGCTAAAGACTATTCCACTCTCTCCTGTGAAAACAGTCAAGCCAGGCAGATCTCACCCCCCGCCTCCCTTATTCCTATTCTTTGTCCTAGAAACACTATAAACAAGGAAAGCTGTTACGAATGGTCAAGATGTGGTATTCAGCACATGTGTGTATGCCTCTGAAGGGCTTTTAGAGGAAGATGCTAAAAACTACAAGCTGCTTCCAGCAAATGATATAGCATCAAATTAGAGATGCAGGAGGAAGCTGCCCAGGAGGTGAGCATGTCCTGCCGCAGAGGACGTGAGGCTACCAGACGTTTCTGAGAGAATGAAGTGTGACTTGAGTTGAAAAGATGAGATTCAAAGAGCAAAACATAAATAAAAGACTAGAAAGACAGGATAAATACTCTCATTAATCCTGAGAATGATTGGCTACAAATATAGATTAGATACTTGTCCCAACCAGTTAACTTCCCAAAACATAAAAGATCTTCCCCAAACAATAAAGCATATTATCCAGGCTGCATTGGTTTTTGTACATTATTTTTTTAATGAATACGCCCCCAAGTACCCTGTAATGATCTTGATATGAAAATTATTTCTACTCATTGACTGGCTAAGGGTACCCCATGGCTGAGTGGTCTACTACAATCCCGCTGTCTCAAATAATCCGAGAGTCATCTAGAAGTTGGAGAGCATTTCCACCATTCTGAAGCTGGCCTGGGTGGAAGTCAACTTACTAATTCAATCTGTTTGCTGGGTAAGTGATCTTGTGCCTACTCACCGTGATCAAGGATATATTTCACAATTTCCCCGTTGCCGGTTTTAGCTGCGTGGTGAAGGAGTGAACAGTGGTCTGGTCCCTGAATTAGCAGACTGCCTCCATTTTTATAGCTTTCTATTAGCTGAAAAAGAGACAGATAAAAAGAAGCTCAGACAGAGGCCGGAACAAGAGAAACAGCTCACTGGTGATAAAATAAGAACAATGCAGCAAACCACAAATATTTCTAGCCTCAGAGGACACAGAAACGTCAGAGAGATGAAGTAATCTTCCTCGATTGTGTGATAACTCAAATAGATGGCCAGTGTCTCACTAACTCCTGAGAGGGCATATAGGTGTTGAACATCCTAAGAAACTGAAATATACTGAATCACTTATATATTTTCCTGTGTGTGTTTTTTTTCTTTTTTTTTCTTGTCTGGGCACTGGTGCCTGTAACAAGGGAATGGAGGGTGGAGAAGAGAATAAGTTTCCCTACTTTGGCTCAGCTTTTTCTTGAGCGAAAGAATAATTATAGGCAGGATTAGTGTGGTGTCTGGTAGGTAACTCCTTTCCTGTCCCTCAGTTTTTGTTTAATCTCTAATAAACCTAGCTCCATAGAAGCGCCTTCCCATTTCCCTGTGAGAGATCACTGCACGCGAGCACACAGCATACACACACGCACACACAGGTATAGCTCCCTTCTTCATCCAGTTCTGCAGCCCAGCCGGTATGCATTCTGTTAATCACCCAACACCTACTCAACAAGGCTAGAGGTGATCTGCAGGATGAGAAACAGATTCAGAGAAAATAGTAGTAGAAACTCAAAATATCTCAAATATGAAACAGACTAGGGGAAAAAACAGATTTTGCATCTTGAGAATAAGGTAGCTAATGAGGACACAGTCTAAGTTTATGAAATATTAAACATTATAGAAAGTGTAAATGGGTCCCTAGTCTCTAAACTATGATATATCAGGATAAGAAGAGCCTTTGGATCTTCTAAAATGTAGTTTTAGGACAAATGCCAAACAAATAACCCAGCAGGCAATAAGCAAAAGGAATGTGTCTACCACCAAGAAGTTAGATGGCACATTATAAAAAAAATCAACATCTCCTACGGTTCAAAGTTCAACCTTCTATTCAGATGCAGCCATAGCACTGCCAAGTATCAGATGCCAAGGAAGCAGATGAAGACACACAGCCACTGGCCTCAGAGACCTCACAGTCCATGGGAGAGACAGATGTGGAAAGAATTATACCGGAATGGGGAGGACCATGATGGGCTACCATGGAGCACCAGGAAAGCATGAAGTGGGGGATGGAAGACTTCCTAGGAAATAGATTCAAAAAAGAGTAGTTGAATGGAAATCAGGAACTTTCACCCTACACCAGGGCAGTAGGAAGAAGTAGCTAATAGTTTTCCGGTTAAGAGAAAACGAAGAGAATCCTGTTTTGTTTCACTGCATTGTCTCACAGTGACAGTCCCTTACCGGGAACAGGTCCACAAGGGATTCGGCTCAACCGAGTAGCACAGACCCAATCCATCAGCTGCCTTGATTCTGCCTTTCTGTGGTGTTTTTAGACACTGAGCAGTAAGTTAGTCCATGGGTACCTCATGCAGCCCAGCTGCTCAAGACAGCTTTCCCACTGGGATGGCTCCTGGGGTCTTTTGTTTTCTGCTCATTTGTGCATTCTCTCTCTCTCTCTCTCTTTCTCTCTCTATCAGCCAGTTTAATATTTATTTTGCTTTCTACATGGAATAGGAAAATGAAAGAAAATGGAGAAGAAAAAATGGGAGAAGAAAAATACGAGAAAAAAAGTAAGAAAGAAAAAGAAAAGAGTAAAAAAAACCCCACCTAATTCCCCTGTATTTCATCTCTCCGTAAACAAGGTATTCTTGCATTCTTTCTTAGCCATTTTGGAAATAATTGGAATAGAGAATGTAATAAGACAACTGACTGAATATAGTTATTTCCTATATCTCAAATAATTCTCTATTAAGTACAAAATATTGTGGCGATATACCCACAGACCTGGAAAATTCATTGCCTAGACTAAAATCACATACAAAATAAAATGAAAAGGTTTCAAATGCACTATTTCCAGGGTTACATGTTGAAAGATGACTGTTTATCAAGATGCTAGCAACTGTCTCACCGTTTTCTGCTAGTGACCTGTTAAAAATGGAGCAGAGGGCCAGGCTGTTACAGCCCAGTGGTTGAAGCATCGACCTATGAGCCAGGAGGTCAAGGTTTGATTCCCTGTCAGGACACGTGCTCCGGGTGCGGGCTTGATCCCCAGTAGGGGGCGTGCAGCAGGCAGCCGATCATTCTCTCTCATTGATATTTCTATCCTTCTCCCTTCCTCTTTCTCTAAAATCAATAAAAACCTATTTTAAAAAATAAATGGAGCACAGAGTGTCTCAGTTTATTTGACAGTTGTGCCTCAGAAGAAACTGTGTTCAATGGCAGTGCTTCTCAGCTTTCTTTAAGGCTTTTGGTTTCTGGATCTGCAATGGCACCACAGGCTGGTGAGGAAGGCATAGCCTGGGCCCTTAGGGAGCTGCCCATATTACAGAGCTGATCAATGGCAGTGTGGGCTTTACAAGGATAGATGGGCAGGCATAAGTCCCAAGGCCTGAAAAGGATATGGGACCAACTATAGCTTTTAGAATAGTTATAAACTGTATTATACGTTATAACAAATATTTACATTTCTACAATGTCTAGCTCTTAAAAATACACAGACTAACACTATGCTAATAAAATAGCCAACACTTTAGAGTCCTTTCTATGTAATAGGAATAGTCAAGAGCTTTACTTGTTTTATTACATTTGATCCTCACAAAGTGAAGAGAGAGACAATACTATTATTCCATTTTAGAGATGATGAAAGTGAGGTACAAAGATAAACAGTTGTTCAAAATCATGCATATAGGAAATGGCAGGGCTGAGATCTGAACCCTGGCGGTCTGACTTCAGAATTGGCATTCACTCTAGAGGCAGTGGTGGACACTTCCTTCCCTCTAAATTAAAATTCACCAGAAAGCAAAAGAACAAATTGAACTGTTTTGGTTTACCATGATTCCCAAAATACAAAACTGTAATAATGTTGGAAGACATAGGCTCTGGCCTGAGGAATGTATTTCTGGTTGTTGACCAGATAATTCTTACACTTGCATTTATTTCAAGACCTGTCTAAAAAGAAATCTTTAAACTTCCAATATCAGCTTTCAGAGAAGAGGAATTCTGGGCACTGTGAGCAGTGTGTCCTGGGGACATGCAGTCCATTTTTACTCGTGAAGGCAAATTGCATGGTTATCTTACAGAAACCTTTTGCTGTTAAGAAGCATGGAGATGCTGGGAGGACTCCCCTAATCCTCTCTGTTTAATTCTCAAAAAAAAAAAAGAAAAGAAAAAAGAAAGAAAAAGCATCCTTCCTCTTTCTACTCAGCCAGCACAGGCAGGGGGTCTGATAAATGACATATGGGTTCATGAAAGTTTGGTGTGAAATGATATTGACTTAAAGTTCTTAAAAATCAGCAAAAAATTTGGTAGTAGGAAGATGGCTTACCTTCATAAGATCACCAGTTATTACTGCCTGCAAAATTGCTGTGAAAGACAAAAGAGAGATGTCTCATTAGTAGAAGACCCTCTCCTTAAAATACTAAAAAGGTCTGGATCCATATTTTGCATACATTGTCTACAGTGGAGGCAGGGACCAGGGAAGGAGAAACATGCCAAAGGTTGAATCTTGGAATAGACTAAGGTCTTCTTTGCAGCCCTTCCCTACCTGGGCCCCATCCCCTGTATAATTCTAGAGCCTACCAGAGTCCCCGCTGGCCCTGGTACAACAAAGAGAACATGAAATTTGGAGTCACACAGATTGGGTTCAGATCTTAACTCTGACACAAGCTGTGGAACACTGAGTGAACCATTTAACCCCTCTGAACCTCAGTTTCCACATCTGTAAAACAGCAAGTCTAAATTTTGTAGGAATCCTGAAGGTATCAACTAAATCATATAAACATTTCTAACTCTTCCACTGATGCCTAATTATCATTGTTTTTCCCCCCTCTTTCCATTTCCTTCCACTCTGTCGTCCTCTTGGGGTTCAAAAAATCACCAGTAATTTGTTGGTGTGTTTTGTAATGATAAATAAATACCCACTGCTATGGAAATAAAGGGGACTAGAGAGAGTGAAGAGGAACCACATATATTTTAATTATGTTTTGAAGAAAATAGTCATGTGTTAAGCATCTAATTCAATGGTGACTCTTACAGAAAGAATTCTAAAAGTCTTGGTTAACCTAAACTAATTGTCCTTGGAGGAAAAAGAGAAGAGTATGTGCATGTCATGTGGGGTGTAGAAGAGGAATGAGAAAATATGACTGATAAAAGAGGAACAGAATATACCTATGTCTAAGGGCAATTATGGTTTCTAGAGGGATTATATGCATTAGGTTGGAAATGGTGGCTTTCGAAATATAAATATCTAAAACTACACCAAGGATAGATTATTTTAGGCTTTAATGTCACAAAAATTTAGAAGAAAATAATGTATTTTTCAAAGTGTCAATTTATTGTTCTTGTTTGAGTCGTCTCCCATTATAGGGTTAGCCAACAACTCAGTATCATGCACCAAAGTACATGGAGCCTTTGACAGGCCCTGAGCAAAGACCTCCAAACTTTCATACGGAGCATTGACGAGCCCTGAGGGACCAGAGGCAAAGGACCGGAGGCATGTTAAACTCATTCACTGGCCCACGACCCAGTGCCTTCCCTCTGATCAAAGCAGAAGCCTTGAAAACCCACGGAAATGGTGAGGGCTGCTTGAACACGGAGGAAGAAGGGAGAAGAAAGAATAGAGGAAAAGCGGGGAACAGGAAAGAGAGGGAAGAATGTTTCCAGAACAAGCTGTAAGCAACGTACTCATTCCATCTCCCTAAGGCACATGCACAATGCTGTGTACATCTCAATGCACAACAGGTAGTTGTTGGACGGGCTAAAAAGATGGCAAAGAGAAAGGCGAAAAGGAGAGAGATAAAAATAAGACAAAAGGAGTTAATAAAATATTAGGTCAAAAGAACCTAAGAAAATGTGTCTCATTCTTCATATTATGGATGGACACTGGGGTTCAGAGTAAAGTGACTCTCTTGGGGCATAGAGCTAGTGGTCGTCTAGTCATCACCATCATGTAGGTCCCTGTGTCCAGTCCAGGTCTCTATCTAGTGCCCTCTGTGACCTCACAATGCAAGGTCTACTAGAGGCGTATAGAAAATAGAAGAAAATAGTCTCTATAGGTTATAAAGCTTATAGTGTTGTGGAAAAGGCACTGGATTGGAGTGTTAATTCTAATATCTGTAATTTACTAGATAAGTTTAACAGCTGTCCTGCTCATCTCTCTGTAGTAGGGATAAAACAAACAAACAAAAAAGCTTTATAAATAGATATGTTATATTACCAGAGGGGTAGCTTTCAGGACTTTTGAGACTATACATGAAAATGGCATGCAAACACTTCAGAAAGGAGCCTAGCAACAGGGTAAAATTGGTGTGTGGAGACACGCAGACATAGCTCTGTTAATACAGTGCCCATCAGGTGAAGGCACAGCTGAAGGGGCCAAAGGGACGCTGTGTAACTCCAAGATGTAAAGCCTACCTCAGAGACAGGGAGGGAGAGGTCAAAGAAAATATTAGTGATTGCAAGTATAAGAAAACAAGTCAGCTTGGACTTTTATGCTACGGGATGCTCTCTTCACTGAAGTAGATTACCCATATTAGGAAAGAATTGAGGTAAGGGAAATTGCCTGAGCGGGCAGTTAATGCAGAGCTGAAACTCACACACACTTGTTCAAAGCAGCATACAGCCTATGGTTTTCAAGATCATATTAAAACCTTTCCCAGAAATTAAAAGAAAAAAAAAGAGAGAAATAGAGAAAAAAAGTAATAAAGGAGAGAGAAAAGAAAAATGAATTCATTAACTTAAAGCACTTGTGTAATAAAATTTGGTGTAAGTAATAAATCAAGACAATGAAGGAATTCCCCAGGACCAAGACTATTTAAGTAAAAAGTGAACGGAAGGAAGGAAGGATGGAAAAAAGGGAGGGGAGGAGAAAGGAAAGGGGGAGGGAGGGAAGGATGGAGGGAAGGAGGGAAGAAGGAAGGAAGAAAGGAAGGAAGGAAGAAAGGGAGAAAGGAAGAAAGGGAGGAAGGAGAAGCTGGGGGGGGGGATTTATTGGCTAACTTTGGAGTTCAATAAGAGTTTCTTAGATGAAGTAAAGCTTAAGCCAACTCTTCCATGATAAGTAGAAGTAATTAGCAAAGGAGGTTTGGAAAATTCTTGCAAAATAAAGGTAGGATATGAACAAAGACCTGGAAGTTACAAGTCATGGTGTCTGAGGGAACCTGCAAAGAGCTGCATGTGAACACATCGGAGGTGGAGAGTGGTCTCAGGCAATGTGCCACAGTCACAGGGACCACTCCAGTGAGCACCATTTATGTCAGGAGAAGGCACTTGGACTTTATCTCAGGGGATGAGATTCTATTGAAGAGTTAAAAGTACATGAATGTTCTTAAGCATGCCAGTATGACTCTGCTCCTCCCCTCCTAGAAACCTGCTCTCAGCTCATGTTCTCCAGATTGCCCACATTATAGCCCCCTTCAGTTTCTACCCCAGACTCATCACAAGCATTGTGATTTATGTCTGTTCATTTCCAACAGCCTCCCAGCTTAAAGTCCACATGAGCAGGTAGAAGATCATATAACAGAATCATAACCACGAATAATTTCCAATTGCACTGGAGATAGAAAGCATGAATATTTATTTTAAGTCAAGCAATACACCCAAGGGTAGCTATTATGCAAACATTATTAAGCACAAGGCACACTTCTCTCTCCTGATTAATGTCCTTCTCCATGAACACTGTTGTTGAAAATTTCCTCTGCATAAAAAAAAGCCTGAATCCATTAGTCGCAACTCCAGATAATAACCTTCTGAAAGATCGAGCTCAAAAAAATAATAATTGAGTTGTTCTGATTATAGTATTATCCCTTATTTCTTGAGCTCTGGGCTTGCCTTCTTGCCTGTCTTAAAACTCCTTTACATTGAAGAAGCAATGCCCCAAGTGCAAAGAAGCAAAAGAAGTCAAATTATTAACGGAACAAAAGGTTGATAAGTAAATGAATAAATTCTGAGTTGTTCTGATTATAGTATTATCCCTTATTATTTCTTGAGCTCTGAGCTTGCCTTCTTGCCTGTCTTAAAACTCCTTTATATTGAAGAAGCAATGCCCCAAGTGCAAAGAAGCAAAAGAAGTCAAATTATTAACGGAACAAAAGGTTGATAAGTAAATGAATAAATTCCTGGACAATTAACATCACATAAACTTCCATAGTAAGACAGAAATGTAAGGGGGTAGAGCACTGAGAACTGTGCCATTTTTAGAGGTTAGAAGATGAATCATTAGTTCACATGAAATGATTTCTTCTTCCGTCAGTGCTATGCCTTCCAATAAATGGCTATCCAGTAAACATCCCGAGGCAGAATACTAGAACTGAGAAGTCAAGATGGCCAGGAAGGAATCTGTTTTCAGTCTCTCTTCCTGAGACCTGGATTCCCCAGAGTCAAGACATCCTCAGACATCCATGCATGGAAGAAAAAAATGGCCTATCCCCTGGAATCAGTGTAGGGACAAACCAGTCCCCGGGGCTGCTGGCTGGCCTGCTCTTGCCATGCCAAACTCTGTCAGGGATGTGGAAATATAACTACAAAATACACACCATCCTCTCAGGGAACTGACATTTTGGCAAGAAATCCAAACTAGGAAGGGATATAGTGTAATTGAATCTAGACTTATACTGACTGGGTTTAAGCCATTAACTAGATATAACCTTGGGTTAGTTACCAAGCTTAAGTCCTCTTATTAGGAAAATGGAGATCAAGTGGGTTCTTTTGAGCCTCTGCCTTGCAAATAAGCTCAAGGAACAGAGAATCTGACCACTACAGTCTGTGTAGAACACCATGGAATGCTGATTTTTTAACCCCAATACACTGAGAAAGCACCATTTTGCATCTGTGAGATGAGGTTAGACGAAGGCCAATTACAGCTCTAGAATTTGGCCTAGGACTACTTCCATAGGGATACTTTACAGCTGTGATTCTTGCTTTGCAGATGAAAATATTTAAGAACAAAACATACACAGAACTTGGCAAAGCCACATATTTGCTTGTGATTCTCAATAAATCAACTAAAATAACTACATTATTATATATCAAATAGAGTTTCAATAAAATAGTCTATTGAAAAATTTTAATCTTTCAGGTTCAGTTACTTTCAAATTTTTAAATAATTTTTTGCCAAATTTCTTCTCCTAATGACAGAAATCACTGGAATCTTTTTTTCTTAATTCTGGGGAAAAAATTAAAAGTAAAAACAAAAACCACTGAACAAAGAGAGGCTTGTGGAGACTCGGGGGGCAAAATCAGTTGACTCACTGGAAATCATAAATATATATCTAACTTTGCCAAGTTCTCCATATATTTTACTCCTAAATATTTTTATCTGCAAAGCAAGAATGACAGCCTAAAATGACCCTTTCAGAAGTTGTCAT